AGGAATGGGAGTGGGCAATCAAAGGATGGATCAGAGGCATGGGAGGAGACTCCAAGGTCATTGTGATTTCAGATAATTCAGTTTTAACTTAGCCTCTCAAAACATTCAGGTTCTATTGGCAGAAAATTCCTATTGTCTGGGAGAACTAACTTCTAGCCTAGAATGATTGATTTCTATGATCTTTTAAAAAATATATTTTTATGATTTCAGAGAGGAAGAGAGAGGGAAGGGAGATGAGAGAGAATCATCGATTTGCTGCCTCCTACACACCCCACACAGGGGATCAAGCCTGCAACCCAGTCATGTGCCCTGACGAGGAATTGAACCATGACCTCCTGGTTCAGAGGTTGACGCTCAACCACTGAACATGCTGGCCCAGCACCTGTGATCTTTTTTACATAAAATGGGAGTAGCTCCTGTCATGCATGTGAGGGGACATACTGATACTTCCTGCAGTATCAGTAAGGCTGCGATTACAGAGGATGAGGTCCAAAACTGACTAGATTCTAAGGATTCAAGGAGTCCAATTCAGCTCAAAAAGAAATAATAGAGTGACATATCCAATGGATGAATAACTTTCTAATATAAAGCACTTATATCTAGGCAGGCAAACCAGCATCTCCCACTTTGCCACTCTGTATTGGTAATGCAATTCTAATGTGCTCCCAGATTCAATGTGGATTGAAGGTAGACCAGACCGAGGTCTTGGCTGGAGTTTCCAACACTTTTTAGTGAAAAGTTTAAAATATACTTAAAAGTTGAAGAAATTATACAGTTAACACAAATACCATCTTGGCTTTACAATTAAGTGATAGTATAGTCACTTTATCACAAATCTATCTACCCATTCCTCTATTGTCCATCAATCCATCTTTTTAAAAAATAATTTTGAAGTAAGTTATAGGTATCTGGTATACTTCATTCCTAAATAGTTTAGTATGTGTATCATTACAGTTCTTTTTGAGATAAAATTTATATATAATGAATGCACATATTGTAAATGCACTACTTATGGGGTTTTGACAAATGTGTACACTTATGTAACCCACCCCTATCCAGATATAGAACATTACCCCCCCTCCCCCAGAAAGTTGCCTCATATCTCTTCTCACTTAATCCCCACACTACCATCCTCCAGAGCTAATCACTGTTCTGAATTTTCCCACTATAAATCAGTTTGCCTTGCTGGAAAAGAATATTTTTTTAGGCTACAAAGTTAATACATATTTATTAAAAAGCATTTTAAAACAATATTTAAAGAACATAATGGAGATTTTAAAATATATAAAACATCTTGTAGTCATCATTTTCCCTTAAGCCTTGGTTTTCTCAATTAAAAGCTCTTCATAAAAATACATATTAATGGCTACGTAATTGTTGGTTGTCTGGGTGAGCCCCTATAATCCTACAATGGCTCTTGAGCTCGTCCTCTACCCTAGTGTAATCCCCTGCCATCAGAAGGAAGCTGTGGCGGGCTCAGTGAACAGGCCAGAAGGAAGATGGGCTGGCCCAAACAGGAACATGCTAGTTTTAGTTGCTTTCATCATGTTCTTCTTCCTTCTTTCCGAGCTGTTTACATCTCAGCTTCTATGGTGATTGCTTACTCCCTAATCCTCTCTCTTAGTTGCTAAAATCTCCTGATCATGTCCTGTTCTGAAGGGATTCTGAAACCTTTCTAATGAATGCTCACTTGGTTTTAATCACCAGGAGCTGAATGTGACCAGCTGCAGTGGCCCTGGGCTTACGGGAGACAAGGTCCTGCTCCACGCAGGGGCCCTTTGCAGCAGATTGACAGCAGTGGACATAAGCTGGTCTGGGGCCACAGACGTGGGCGTGATGGCCCTTATACAGGGAGCTTCAAGGTAACGCACCCAAAATTACCTTGCCATTTGTCGTGCTCAGTCCAGAGCCCAGGCCGGAAGAGCAGGCACTATCTTGGAGGCAAGGAAAGAGGATGTGGTGAAGCATGTACTGGATTGTAAAGCAACTGATTACATATCATGGTCAGCAATAACTTCCATGGAATGAGAAATTGCAATTTTACTATATTTCTGGAAGGAAAGAGAAAACCAGACATTTTTGAATATCGATTCTGATATCACAATTGACCTCCTCTAACCTCAGTTGTCTGAGTAAGGGAAGTGATGCCACTGCCAGCCCCTCCATGGCCTGCTTCAAAGTTGCAGATGGCACGGCTGATGGGGAGGGAAGTCTTCAGTACCAGGGCTGTTACTTCGTTTTTCTTCCTTTGCTCCAAGCCATAATGTGAGATAACCATTACAATGGTAAGTGCTTTATCAAGGGTCCTCTAGTCATGCCTCTCAAAGTGAAACGTTTCCACCTAGAGTGTTTTAAGATAAGGACTTTCTATAAAGTCAACTTCAAGTTTTAGTGAAGTTTAGTCTTTTAAAATGGAGCCTTGTTTTCATAAAGAATCCATACTGCTGATATAAATTGGTGATTGTCAGGTAAGATGCTCCTTCAGCTTTTCTGATTTTGTGCATCTGATGGGAAGAAATGTGTCATATAAGAAGTACCGTTGTTTTTATGTCCCACTATATTTGGTGATAAATCTAAAATCAAGTGCTATGTGAGACTCACTATATTTTATTTTATTGTCAATTCCTAGCTAAAGCTTGGCTTGGTGATGAGCATAGAGAATCTCTGTAATGATCATTATATCATTGTCTATTTCCCTTAATTTATCTCTATAGGAAATTATTTTTGGCTTAATAACATGGTGGTGATGATGGAAACTATGGTTGTAAAGACCACACCCAGGAACATTCCATATCCCTTAAATAACCATAGTGCTTAGACACAACCAAAGCCTTGATAGAATAAATGAAATGAAAGTATGTGTTCTACAAAGACAAAATAAAAGCCATAGAAAAGAAATCCAATAAGTAAAGATAGATCTATCAATCTATATCTATCTATCTATCTATCTATCTACCTACCTACCTACCTACCTATCTATCATCTATCTATATTTGTGGCTGATTTATTGAGCCCAAAAAGTTCATAAATCAAAATTAAAGTATATTGTTTACCAAAATAAAATTCCTCTTTAGGTATTTTTGAGTCTATTTGAATAATTAACAAACTGCAAGATTTTGGTTTGAAATCTTTTTAAATAAAGACATTGAGATGTAATTTTTTTGGTTAACTTTCAGCCTTCAAGGACTCTCCATTAATGGATGCCAGGTTACAGACAAAGCCATTAAAGCCTTAGTTAAAAAGCATGGAAACAGGTAATAATGATACATTTCTCATTTGCATGTACCTTAAATTTATGTATCATCTATCAGCTTACATTGTGCATTCTGCTCTTTTATTTGTATTGCTTTATCTGGTGTTTTCATCAAGCAGTCATTGGGGTAGGAATTTGCCACTTGAGTAAACTGAGGTCCAGAAATATTAAGTGACCTGCTGACGGGCCACAGTAAGTTACAGAAGCTACACCGTCCTGTTTTAAGCATACTGTTCTTTGTGTTTTAGCTCAACTCAAGGAAACATTGTGAACACTTTTGTCCGGTCTCCTCTTGTTCAATTGTTGTTGAAAATTAAGAAAAGATAACGTATATAAAAACCTTCATGACTACTATTTAATATGCCCTCAATTAATGCTACTTTATTTTATTCCAGCCTACATTGATTATTCCTCTCTTTGAATGCCTGTACCACACATGTTTGTTCCCTAATATTTTGATAAAGATAACCTTTTTTTCCTTAGCCAACTTCTAGAGCAATAATAGCTTTTGTACCTACAGAATCTGGCACAAAGCAGGACATAATTTGGGGAAAGACCATGAATCCTTCCAACAACCTGTGAATTGTGTAATAGCTTGTTTGGCAGAAAAACACATCAAGGAGTGTGGCCCCTGTGATAAAACAAGGCTCTAGCTGGCCAATAAAAACCTCATCAAATTGAATTCTGATTGGCAAAGAATACAAGTAAATTAAGAAGGCCAATATGTCTTAAATAAGTTGGCAGCAAGTTGTGGTTTCTCTGAATTATCTCAAGTCTTTTGAATCCTAGCCCTGGAATAATTTTGACATAAGTCAATATTAAATAGAAAGATAAAACTAGGAAAGAAGCCAAAATGACCCCTGCTGCCACAGTTTCCCATCTCACCTTCACTCACTTTGGAATGTGAATGCCAATGCTTTAGTTTCAGTGGATTTTCTTGTGTCTGTGTTAAAGCTATTACTATTCAGATATAGTTGCTTCTAATTGTTTTTAATGCATAGCTTTACATTTAAAAATAGTTATACCTTCTTTGTATTTAGCAACTATTTTCCTACATTATTGAAAACTTGCCATTAGCATCATTTTAACATTTGCAAAATTTATTAACCCTCGCAAAATCTCTCAAAATTTGAACAGTTAGGATATTTCTAATATTTTAAAATAAATGCTGCCTAAAAGATACATCCTTTTGCATGGAGATTCCTGTTTCCCTTGACCGACTACTATTTAAGCTGGATTCTTCAAAGCAGGGTTTCTGGGTTTAACCACAGGCTGTCAGCCAAATCCTGGAAATTCTCAGCAATTGTGTAAACAATAAAATATTTTTTAAAAAACTTTGATAAACTCAATGTCAGCACAAATCTGTGGATTTTTATCAACTGATAGGAAAAGTAGCAAATATGGGCAGAAATATGTTCCTTCCACTTTGGAAGTTGATTTATTGGAATTAGAGGGATTTAGCCTCTTGATGAACCCATAAAACCTTTATACTGTTAGGAAGAAAGCATTCAGTCTCATTGAGGGGAGAATCTATAACATGGCATCTGGGATGAAAATAAGATGGGCTAAAGCTTGCATGGTGGTAGAAATGGCAATTTTTGATTAACAAATTGTCAGCATGGGGTAGAGTCCTTCAATTTTCAGCAATTGAAATCCCATCCTTAATCAGCTTTTGTAGAATGCCACCCACTGTTCACACAGCAGTGAGGAAGACAGTAATGAAAAATTGTAGAACTAGCATTGAATCAGAGATCATGCTGACTGGAGTATCTTTATTTTGCGTGAAGACTGTTTTGTTATTATTCAGGAATTGGCCAAAACATGTCATGTCCTCATCTTCTGCGAGTGCTTTCTTTCAGGACAATAAATGGTGCTAATAAGTTGGCAGGCCTCCCACCAAGTAGACCTTTGATATATGTTGTGTGAGCACATTTATGTGAGATCGGAATTACAAAAACACAGGGAGTGTTCCCACTTGTAATTGTGTTTTTATGTAATGCAAAATAAATCAAACAATCACATTCGTCCCAGGAAGCATAACCCGTTTATAAAATAATGACTTTTGTTTTTATAAATTGGTTTAATTAATCCATTTCTTTATTACTTATTAGGTTCCTACAATGTACCAGGCACTGTAGGAATTAAATAGATGCACAGGTGTGGCCCTGCTGTAAAACAGCTGGCATTATCCATGTACACTCCATTGTTTAGACCACAGATTTTTACTTCCTCTATATCCTTGGTCTATACTCTTCCTCTGTATTCTTGATCTGTTGAGTAAATGTGCCAATATTCTTTATATGTGACACTGCTCACTCCTCTCTCTTGTGCTTTTTCCAGAATCGAGGCTAGGATGGCTATATGAATTTTATTTATTTAATTTTGTGTTTTCTTTCTCATCCTATCTAATAAAAGAGTAATATGCAAATTGACCATCACTCCACACACAAGATGCCTGCCCCCATGTGGACACAAGATGGCCAGCCGGGGAGGGCAGTTGTGGGTGACTGGGTCGGCAGAGGAGAGCAGTTGGGAGGGACCAGGCCTGAAAGGGAGGGCAGTTAGGGGTGACCAGCCCTTGTAGGGGAGGACAGTTGGGGGTGACCGGGGTGGCAAGCCCACAGAGGGAGGCCCCGGCCACCGATTGGCGGGCTACAGCAGGTGGGCAGGGCCTCCCTCTTTGGGGTGATAGATCACGGGGCTCCTGGACTGTGAGAGGGTGCAGGCTGGGTTGAGGAACACACACACACACACACACACACACACACACACACACACACCCATGCACGAATTTCATGCACCGGACCTCTAGTTGAAGTATAAATTGCATGGAGTAAACTGAGCAAATCTTAACACATTGCGGACCAGTAGTTTTACTGTTAGCTTTACCCAGTGGCCAGATAAGTTTCTATTGAAGGAGTACAAAAAATGTTTTACATAAATGTTAAAGGAACACTTTAAAATTAAATACCCATTGCATTTTGAAGTTATTTATTACATATTCTTACAAGTTAATGTCTTTTTAAAGTATGATACTTTGAAAAACACTGTGAAGCGAGAATTCTCGTGATCTGTCTGCAATGTGTTAAGTGTACAACTCACAGAATTTCTACATCCGTGTACACCCATGTAACCACCACCCACATCAAGATATAGAATATTTCCATGACTCCAGAAATTTTTCTCGTGTTCTTCTTTAGTCATAATCTTCTTCTTCCCCCTGGAAATAACCACTCTTCTCTCTTATGTCACCATGGCTTAATTTTTACCTTTTCTTGAACTTCATTTAAATGAGATTACAGAGCAGTGTTTTGTGTGTGTGTGTATGTGTGTGTGTGTGTGTGTGTGTGTGTGTGTGTGTGTTTGGCTTCTTTCATTCAACATGTTCTTGAGTTTAATCTATGTTTTTTAGTATACACAGATTTTTAATATAGATATCCTATTTCATTTATACTGTTGTTCCGGAAGACCTTACTTGCTTAAACAGCAGGGATTTGTTGATCCTTTTGGTGTTTGCAGTGCTAGACTAGGGGCAGATACTATGTAAAGAAGACCCTCAAAAAACAGCTTCTTTCTTTATTCCCTCTGTTAAATGGCTTATAGTTATGGTGCATGTATTTTTTAAAATATTCTTGTTTATGCTTTTAAAAAAAATTATCTTAGAGAGAGATGAAGGGAGAGGGAGAGATAAACATAGATTGGCTGCCTCCTGCATGACCCCCACTGGGGATCAAGCCCACAATCTGGGCCTGTGTCCTGATCAGGAATCTAATCCATGACCTCTTGGTGTATGGGTCAACACTCAACCACTGAGCCACACTGGCCAGGCTAAAGTATTCTTAATTCTTCAAACAAGAATAATAAATTTCTGGAAATCATTTTCTTAAGTGAAAGGTTGGTCATTTTATGGCAAGTTTTAGGAAATACTTATGTAAGTTCAATACCTAGAATGTACCCAAAGAAAAAGCCATTGATATCATTAAAATCAATATATTTTTCTTTACTTTCTGTTGATAAATCTTGCAGGAATTTTCACACAAAATTTTCTGAGTGCTGCAAGTTGGCACGGTAGAAATGTCATTCTTGACCTTGTTTCAGAAGGATGTTTTAACCTTACTAATTAAGCAACCTCCATATCTACTCAGTGAAGCTCTCTTGAGAGTGGAGGGCCTTTGATTAGGAAAATTCCCTAATTGAGTAGGACCTCTCATCATAAAACAGTCATAACATGTTGATTATAGTTGTACCATTAGGAATTCCATTGCTTAACACAAATGGATTATAAAAAGAATTTGATTAACCTAAGTCAATTTTAGCCTGGAGATATTTGGAAACATTACAAAGATCAAGTCACCTTAGTAATCCAAGAGTCTAAGGAAAGAGAATGGGCTTTTGATTCATGATAGCAAAAATAAATATTGTACAATAGAGTTTGGGTTTTTATATAATAGCAATCCTCTGATGATTGCTAATGTCTAATACCTATTTTTCTCTGTCTCTCAACTTGCATGTAAAAATCTCAAGTTGCATGTAAAAATTTTTTAATGAAAATATCCATGAACACATGAAAGAAGAATCATATATAGAATTTCCGTGTACCCCTCATCCAGCTTTATAATTAACAAAATTTGTCAATCTTGTGTTATCAGTCTGCTTCACTTTTTGGTTTGCTGTGATGATTTAAAATCAAATCCCAGATACATCATTTCACCCATAAACACTTCAGTATTCACCTCTTTCAATATATGCTAAAACTTACATAGGGCTCCATTTCCTAGTGATACTAAAGGGTTTACCTGCAGTTGTGTCTTTCATATGAAAACCAACCAATCCAAAGCCCATACCAATCACCTCCCTTCACCTAGTTTCACACTCCACGCCACTAATCTGCCTGTCTTTATCGCCACAGAGCCAGGTACCAGACAACTAGGGACAGCCCCACTGTCTTGGAGCCCCATAAATTTTTCAAATGAGCCAGTCCTAAGCCTGCTTACTCTGCTTCACTCATTCCTTCCTGTGGAAACCAAAATTAAAGTGCTTGCACACATTTTCCCACTCCCTCCGCCTTTTGACTGACCCTGGAGCTTCCCTGTGTGGGAAGCCCCCTTCTTTTGGGAACTGTGAGTATAACATACTCTCTCTTCAGTGGCTTCACCACACCTGGATAATAATACATCCTATATTTTAAAGCAAGATAGTAGAGTGAGTAAAATCTCTTGGGACTAATATCAAAGCTTTGCTACTGGAAGATCTGACAAAATTAGCTGGAAACAGTTGAGGTCACAGGTCAGGTAATCAGATTGGAGGTCAGACTCTGGAAAAGAGTAACAGTAGGAAACAGGCAATGAGGTCAACAGCACTCCAGAGCTGTCATAAGTGAATGGCAATAGGCAATCATTCAGTCATCCTACTGGCTTTCTGAGGTGGGCTGAATTCCAGGGGGAATTACATTTTATATATCCCAGGAGTTTAAACATCATTTCAAATACATTCCCCTTAGGCTATAGGAAGGCAGCATCCCCTTGATCCTGATGTTGATGCCTCCCCAACATTTCTTCCTTTAGGTGACCATTTCTGCTGGTGCTACATATCCCATTCAATCTTGCCATAGTCAACAGTGAAGGACTATCTCTGAGACTTTTAGTACCTGATTCTACCTCAAGTGTTTCCTCTTCTCAGAGATGCTAGTTCTCAGGCTAACTCATATTCCAGCTTGGTTTCCACCTCAGCTAGACATTTAGATCAGACACCATAGTCCTCTCTAAATCCAATATCCTCATTTTACAGATGAGGAAACTGAGCTTCAGAGAGGAAAAGGGACTGGTACTGAGAACAAAGGCTATAAAAAGGTGAAGGGCTTTTGACACTAAAGTTCGCGTTCCCTTAATATACTGGTAATTTTCAGTAAAATCTGACTTATATTTAATATAGATCATATTTCACATTATGTTCCAGTGGACTGTAAGGCTATAGCATAATTAACATAATGAATATTTACTTAGATAATTGGGGGATTATCTCCTTATAAAAATGTCCTTATAATGGCTTATGTCATTTCATTATAATTCAGATTTTTTTCTTTCTGACTTTTGCTTATATATACACAAATACACTCACTCACAAACACCCACAAATACATAGCATAAACACATCCCACACCTGAATATTCACTCTCCTTTGGCATTAAAAAACAAACAACGATTCCGGTCAAGGGCATGTACCTTGGTTGCAGACACATCCCCAGTGGGGGGTGTGCATGAGGCAGCTGATCGATGTTTCTAACTCTCTATTCCTCTCCCTTCCTCTCTGTAAAAAATAATATATTAATAAAAAATAAAATAAATAAATAAAAAACAAACAAAAAAACTCCTTAACTCAAGTTAACCTATCTCAATGGATGGGACAATAAATTAATAGATCATGTATTAAGACACTTCAAAATAACTCATTAATTTTAATATGAATTGATTTCAAAGTATGTCCTAAAAGTAGGCTTATGCTATCAGTTTAAAGAGGCATTTTATTCTTTGTACTGGTTCTGGGAAATATATGATTAAAGCTTCATTAAGTGAGTAATGAACTCACTTATTTAAGATATAATCACAGATCCAGGGTCCATGTACCTATGCTCACTACTGAAGTGACCTGGATATGATTAGAAAGATTCCCGAGGTCAGTGATTCTCAAACTGGAGAGCCATGAGGGTCACCTGGAGGGCTTGTTCAACCACAGATCACTAGGCCACATCTAGTGATATAGTAGGTCTCAGTGCGCCCCAGGCATTTGTATTTCTAACAAGTTCCTGCTGGTTCAGAAACCACTCTTGGAGAGCCACTGCCCTAGGTAATCATTTACTTGAAAATTATACAAAAAGAGGAGCTGGTGGGAGTTTTCCTAAGTCCTTCAGAGCCAACTCATGAGCTTGCAGCCCTACGCCAAATAAACAATGTTATGACTTACTCTCTTTCCTGTGTCCTTACTATGAGCGGAAATATTCCACGAGGAGGCTCCTAAAATACATGTGAAAAATATACCAACAGCACCAGCTCCTAGAATAATGTCAATACCTGCAAGCCTTAATTCGTTAAAGCAGACAGGTTTTATATGTCTTGTAAGTAATTTGAGGATGAGGGATGGTTCCATATTCTTGTGTACTCCCAATTTGTAAGAAATCAGAAAATATTTGTATAAACCTCCATTGGCATTGAGCATGGCTATCCTGTGATTTAGCTATCGCTAGAACAAACTAAGGTAGTGCTCCTTCTACTGTAATCTGCCTTTAATCATATATGCTACTGTCTGATTTGAGTATATTGAAATAGTCAGTCCACATGATTCATGGATTTCATAGTTGTGAATTCACCTACTTGCTACAATTTATCTGTGACCCCAAATCAACACTCCTGGTGCTTTCCTGGTCATTTGTGGGCATGTGCAGAATGGGGACAAACTTGAGTTGCCCAAGGTGAATGTTCTCAGCTGAGATCCAATCTCTTTCAGCTCTCATGCTAAAGAAGTGTCCTTTTCATGGTCTATTTAGTGCCGTGTTTTTCACATTTTTGTGCTTGTGTGTGTGTGTGTGATTTTGCTGTTCAAAATGTCCCCCAAACATTGTACTGAAGTGTTTGCTATCTAGTATTTCTAAGGGCTAGAAGGTTGTGAAGTGCCTTAAGGAGAAAATATGTGTCAAATTATCTTTGTTTAGGCATGAGTTATAGTGCTGTTGGCCATGAGTTCAATGTCAATGTATCAATAATTTATATTAAATAAGGTGTCTTTAAACAAAACCTCACATAAAAGAGGTTATGTATTGATCGGTTGATAAAAATGACCAGAGGCTTGAAGGCACCTAACCGTGTATGTCCCCTAGCAGCAATGATTGTGTGCTAATCCAGCGTTTGCAGTGGCTTTCCGGAACATAAGCATCATGAGTAAGGAAATTCATCATTGCTTAGAGTTGCTGAGGATATCACATTTGTGAATTTTATTCATCTATTGATTAGATTTACCAACTCAATGTTATCAGCACTATATATTCACTTTTCAAATATGATATTAAAATGCAGCCTTTCCACCATGGAAAAGAAAAATGTCATTCAGGTGGTTTAGGGATCTGCTCTTATGCTTTGGATCAGGGAGAACAGTAATTTACTGTTGCTATTTTTTTCCCTTAGTCTTCACAAAATAGAAGTATTTGGCTGCCTTGCTCTCACTCCCAGGAGTATAGGTTCCCTGGCCCTGCAGTGTCCACACCTGCAGATCTTGAACATCGGGAGAGTCCCCAAGGTTTCTGAGACCTGCCTGGTCAAGAGCCTGAAGCACTTAGGAGAACTAACTGCACTTAATGTTGCTGGCCTCAAAATGGTGAGACCTCTTGGATTCTGACTGACTTTTTAATTTGTCTTCATGTCCTATGTTTTCAGAGCATAAAACTAATATTGCTTTCACAGCTTTTCCACCTCATCAAGTAGTAATGCTCTGAAATGGGCATTGATGGGGGAAAGAATTCCATAATACCCACGTGATAGAAAAGGTTTGGACGTAGTATTTTTCCTTCTATTCAAAAGAAGAAATATTTGAAATGGGAGGAGCAAACATGATCTCCCTAAGGAAATGGTGCTATGTAGTTATGGAGTAGATAATAGATCTAAAAGTTGACCCATTTACTGGATCTTTTGTTATTTTTATAACTAAACAAAATTTAAGGTAATTCAATAAAACTACTGAACAAATAATAGATAATGATAGTACCTATCATTTATTGAGTCCCTCCCCATGTTCCAGTATATATGAGGCACTTGTTACACACATTAATTCATTAGCTTACCCTCTTCCCTGTGTGAGAAGTAGCATTATCCCCAATTGACAGGTAGAGTCATTAAGATTCTAGGAGTTGAAAGAGAGATAGTACAGGTCACAAAGCTGGTAAACCTGGCCTCAGGTTTGCTGGTACTCTGCCCTCCATATCCCACTGGCTTCCTTCTATGTGGAAGGAGAAAAGGGTTTGACTTCTTCCTCCAGATATGATTACCAAAAGGTAATGTGACTACGGGAGAGGCTGATTTTGACAAATTGAGTGTTGATTGCAATTCTGTGAACTTGTAGTGGACAGTACCTCTGACTGAGAACTGATTGTTATCATGCTTTTTTTTATAATGGCTGATTGAAAGCCAGTGAAAGAATGTTCTGAGATAAGCAGTGGAATTATAAATTTTATGTGCTTGATTTCCTTTTTTATAGCTTCATCTTGGGCTCTGAAGTGTTCTTGCCTTGAATACGGCTCTGAATGAAGTAATAAGAGAAGAACAATACTGTATTTCTTTTTCTTTTAAATCAAAATGTCATGTCCTTGAAAGAAATTCTCCATTAAAAGTTGTCAGTCTGCTCTTAACTTACTTGATGATGCATTTAGATATGTTTGGGGAAGTCTTTTGCAAACTTAAAATTCTGGGAAGGAACAAGCTTTCATTCTTAGTCTCTTAACTAAAAATAGCAAACTCACACAGCAACAATAGCTTAATTTAACTCAATTTCCAGGCATGCACTTCTAAATCCATGAAGAGCTCCCAAATTAGCATGTGCGCCATGTTGGATTAGGGAGCAGAGCCTATTAGTTAAATTATTTCAGTCTAGTTTAATAAAGTCTATAATATTTGAGGTTCCTTAATCTAAGTATAAAATGGGATAAGCATTTCCATGACTCTCTGATTTCTATACTCAAATGGGGATTTTGTAGATTCTGGCACTAAAACAGACATATAGAGCATAGATTTGGAGCCCAGCCACAATAAGTCTTTGGGGCTGTATGTGTTGATCACAAAGCAAACCAAAGTTCCTGGCATGTGGTCAGTATTAGGTAAATTCATGTTAACTTAAACTGGCTTGCAGCCAGGCTATGAAGTCAATATTACAGTAATTACATGTCAATTAAAATTTTGTGAATCAAATCTCATTTTGAATGTATACTGAGGACTTGTTATATTTAGGAACTTTGCCTGGAATTATTTGTAAAATGAATTGCTATTTCCTAATTTCCCTACTTTCTAAGTTTGACTTTCTCTTATATAAGGTTTCCTTCGAGTGTGGATCACCTGAGGGTATGAGAAAATAGCTTAGCTTAACATGGTATCCTGGACAGGATGTTCCTGTGATTTTTTTCATTTGTTACGTCCTAGAAAGTCAAAGACTCTTCATGATGTCCTCTGAATGTTAAGCTTTTCAGTAAATTCTTAAGAAAGCCATTATGGAAGAGGGTCGTGCTCTCTTTGCTCTTGAGACTGTAGCCTTTGCGGTCCAGATGGAGTTCACGGTTTGAAAAGTGGGAGTTTGTTGCTTACATAGAGAGCATAAATGTACATATGCACTTAAATCAGATTAGAATGAGTAAAGGGAATATATATTATAGCATAATTATACTACATCATATATGGATAGATGATTGAACATAGATATATATAGATATATGTAAAGACATAGTGATGGACAGATATAAAGGTGGGTGAAGGTTGTAGTACCTGATTTTCCCTTCCTTATGGGTGTATGCTTCTATATGTATATAAATGGATAGGACTTTCAAAATCCTGTCTATTATAAATTATGAGAGGGGAAATCTGAGTCCGTGTTCAGTGCCTAGCACAATCCTAGTTGCAATTAGGTGATTATTAGTGACTTTTTAATAAAAATAACATTGTGGAATTGAATAAAATCTTAAAATTAATAGAGTACTAAGTAGTCATTAATCTTAAAATTAATAGAGTACTAAGTAGTCATTAATATGATGGTTTAAAAAATGTAGTGAGCAGTGGTTAAAATAAGAAGAAAAGTCACAGAAAATCTTGAGGTTAATCATAGGTTAGCTTTGATTCTCTTATGTTTATTAGGTTCCAGTTAGGTATATTTGATCCTCAATTTCTTAGTGTTTCATAACTCATTTTATTCTAATAGTAATTTAAAATTGAACCCACTAGGCCTAAACTTGACACTAATTTTAGATCTTATAACTATAGTAATTCCATTTTATGTCTTTAGTTTTCAAGGTCTTTCTTACTTGCTGATTTTATTATTAGAGAACCTGCGGGCTCGCATCAGATGACTGACTCCTTTCAGTTTAGTTCTCAATTGGAAACGCTTTGGAAAAAATATGGGCTTCGCACCCATCAGCCCTAGATTTGACTGTTAGCCTCAAAAAGACATTTAACTCCCAGACTCACAGTTTCCTTACTTGTAAGTGGGGGATACTAACATCTATTTTGTAGCACCATTGCAGGGATTAGAGCTAGTGCATATAAAGTGCCTAGCTCAGAATCTGACACATCTTAGGCAGCCCTCAAATGAGAACTCTCATATATTGATGATGATGATTATAAAGCCTCTGAAAAAATGCACATTTTAATCTCTAACACGCTTGATTCACTGCCCTGTCTTCCCTGTGACTGAAAATCAATTCTTGTTTGTTTCCTCCTATAGGTGAGGAATCAGATCGTTCACCTTATTGTGAGGCGATGCCCTAAACTGGACAGTCTGGTCCTCAGCTCCTGCTCTCAGGTAACAGATGCGAGCTTGGTGGAAATCAGCACGTATCTACGAACCCTCAGCTACTTCCTCCTCTGTGAGCATTTTAACCACACTCCAGCAAAGTGGTCACATTCTTCTTTAGGACTGCGGCTTTGGTCTCTTCCTTTTTCTTTATTTAAATCACTGGAATAACCAAGCCATGTTGGATAAATTAGAAGCAGGGACTCCGTTACATATCTGTGTCTGGGCAGAGCAGCCGCTTCATTCTGTGAACTCCGTTACATATCTGTGTCTGGGCAGAGCAGCCAGCTTCATTCTGTGAAGTGACCTGACCCATCCACACTGACTGAAATAGAATAAAACAGAAAGGAATGGCTTGGGGATGTGTGAGGTTTTATCTGAGCAAAGATATTTTTTGAAGGGCAAATTCAGGATATGATTTCAACAATCGCACTATGTCCATTCTGTATTCCTAAAGGGCCTGCCTTGCAATATCAACAAATGGTTCTACCGTTTCTTCCTTCCATCATCAAATATAAGCAAGACCTGGGATGGTGTGAAGAAGTAAGGGAAGGTAGAGGAAATACCCTTCATAGCAAAAGCCCACTTACCCATGAGTATTCACCAGAGAAAGGCGTGGCATTGGAAGTGATGTTCTAAATGGTCTGAGCATTATTTGCTTAATACATTCTCATCTCAAGACTCTTTCCTCCGCTTTTTTCTTTTAACCCCGAATTGCAGGGTGCAAAGGACAATGGGTAGCAACCACCCATCTTTATGTAATACGTTATAATCTGCCTCTGTTCCAGTTACAGTTGCTGCATAACAAACCACACCAGAATTGAGTGTTATAAAATAACCATTTTATTAGACTCTCAGATTCCATGGTTTGTGAATTTAGAAGGGCATAGGAAGTATAGATAGCTTATCTCTGTCTGGGACCTGAGCAGGGAAGACTCGAAGGGTTGGATGACTTAATAGTTGGTTCTAGAATCATCTGGGACTACTTCACTCACATGTCTAATAACTTGAACTCTGGACTCAGCTGATACTATCAACCAAAGAGCCTATACATGGCCTTTCCTGATAGTCTGGGCTTCTTCATAGCGTGTCAGCCTCAGGGTAGTGAGACTTCTGACATGGCTGCTCAGGGCTCAAGTATCAGTTTCCCGGGAAACAAGGAGGAAGCTGCATCATCTGTATGAACTAGCCTCAAAATTCATGTAGTCTTATTTCTCCTATACCCTATTAATTGAAGGAATGTGAAGTGTGCCCAGTTTTATAAAAGAGGGCATATAGATATCACCAATCAGTTGGAGGAATGTAAAAATTCTGTGGTCATTAAAAAAAAAAGTAGCTACTACTTATTTCAGAGTTGAGGCACCTAGGCAGGAGGTAGGGGGGTAAGAGATCAACCAAAGGACTTGTATGCATGCATATAAGCATAACCACTGGACATAAGACACTGGGGGATAGGGGAGGCTAGGGGACTGTCTAGGGCGGGGGGGAAAAATGGACACATATGTAATACC